TTTTATTGCTGCATATACATGTGCACAAGGAATTCCTACCATTTGCCATTCTTGACAAGAGCATTCTCGCAATGTTAGATTCACTCTCAAGTCATTGTTTCCTACCTTCACTAATATCATATTCACACTATAATGTTCAGCCACCATAACTTCAGCTCTCAATACATTCTCCCTCAATTTTGCCTCAACACGTAGTCCAACTCCGTTTGACCAATTCGCCATTTCTATCTTACTATTGTATAGCTTTCTCATTAATTTTGCTTGGTGCTCATTTATCAATGTACATATATGATGTTTTCTCTATTTCACTAACCAAGCATTGAAAGATTCAGCATGGTTTGATGTTATATTGTCCCATCTTTTGTATGAAAATTTTGCTAACGCCCAACGATCTATATCCTTATTTGTTTCTAACCATCTTGCCAACTGTAGGGAGAAAACCATCAAATGACCCATAGCAACATGAAATTTTGTTTCCAACCTCGCATATGCAATATTATCCAACAACTTAAGTGCATCTTCCTTGGTCATCCCATCAATCCTTCGCATGCCTCTATTAATTTTTGTAAATTCTAAGCTGTAATTTTCTTTGACATGACAATAACAAAAAGCATGTCGATTGCCATGAAATATTACACGCACTGTACCAACAATAGCATTATACCTGTCTGACATTATGGTCAATTGAACTTGGTGTGTGATCTCCCTCACATTTTCAAGAAACTAAGCCCAATTATAATATGTTTCTCCACCCATTATTGCATAAGCTAAAGGAAATAAGTCATTATTTGCATTAATTGCAGAAGCTACTAGCAAAGTCTCCTTATATGGACCACTTAAATGATTTTCATTGATAAACAAAATTGGACGAGCACGTTAGAGAAACCTTATGATGCAGCATCCATATGCAATAAAAAGTCTATCAAATCTATAATTTGTCTAGGCAACCCACTTTGCAATTGTGTCTGGGTCCGTCTCCTTCAATTTCTCACAAAGCCATGAATCAACATGTATTATTGTTGTGGAAGCCCATGTATTTCCTCTAATGCTCTATCTTTTCCCCTCAAAGCTTGCCGATATGTGAGATTTAACCCATACTCTTTGTAGAGGTCTTGTCTAATCTCATTTGAAGTTTTCTCCACATTCCCCCTCACAGCATCAATGATGATTGATGATGTCAATCTTGAGTTAGCTTTTTGCTTTAATAGGAGGTTGTCTTGAGCAGAGTGCATGTGTTCATTGTATCTTCCATTTACAACTATCAATATTGTATTTCACAATCATCTTCTTAGGGCTGTTTCTTACAAATATGTAACCAAATCTATGAGCAAGGCTGTATTTATATAGTGCTTTTCTGAATACAATTGCATTATCAAATGTTCGGCTAACACCCATAAATAAATCCTTTCATTTTACCCAATTAACCTCAAGCAGTAGTGCAAGGGCATTTTGTGTTGAACATGGCAAAGAAGGTGATATACTTTCAAGCTCTTGCCTACAGGGAGATCCTGACAGTGATCATGTTAACAAATTCTCCATCCTACATTTACAATTACTTACAGGTCAATATAAATGGTCATTAAACTAATTAAACACACAAATAACTAAGAACAACAACTTACTCCATCGAATTATCTATTGCTCCATTTATTTTATTATCATTTGTCTCAACATATATATGTGTTGACTCATCATTATACTTTATCAAATGTTGTACTCCCTTATCGTCTAACAGATCTATGTATGTGTTTTCACTAAACTTTACTGTAAATTTCAAGTCAGCTGCACCACTTTCAACTCCTATCACTGATGACACCATCCTCAACAGCTCTTCATGATTTATGCCTTTTCTAATCAATTTAAAAATTAATCTCCCACCCTCATAGGTCATCTTCCCTTGTAAATCTTTTACAAAATGTCCATCAACATGAAGATAACAAAATACTTCTTTTGCTGAAGTGCTTGCCATATGGGAAATAAACCTGGAACAACTACAAGCAACATACAAATTTAGTACTTCACAATTGTCCATTCCATAATCCCAACCTTAATTACATAAATTCAGCATCCATGTTACATTTTTCAATATTCACGTACTTTTCAACACGGATCACAAAAATTCAGCATCTATGTTATATTTTCCTTGTTTTTCACTCCTCAACTTTTTTAACTGTGTCGTTCTCAGAAATCATTTCTTCCGCATGTCTATATATAAAGTCTAGTAATCATTAAGAATACTACTTTTTTTCCTAGGTATAAAACAAAGAGAAATGGTGTAAGATAGCATTTGCAAAGATTAAAACATTCTTCCTATGCGTGCATGACAAAGGACATGTGTAAAGAAGAAAACAGAGCAATGGAAGAGAAATGGAAGAAGAAGATGCTGACTTCTCTTCCATACATGGTAGAGGACGAAATGTAAAAGAAGCAATGCATACAATTACCTATTAGAAGACGATTATGCTCCATTAATTTTTTCCTAACATTTTCAGCGCACGAGAGCACACTCCATCAATATTTTTTCCCGCCGAAAAATAAGAAAACAGAGCACACGAGATGAGCTTCTTTCCAGTTACCTTTCAATATTTAGTGAGGGGGCAGTTTTGTAAAATCAAGTTTTTTTTTATCCCACTTAAAGACCATGGTCTTTAATTGGGATTTCTATTTTTTACGATCCTTAATTGAAATTAATGTCCTTAGTGGGTCCTCAATTGTCATTCTCCCTATTATAAATTGAACTATTAATCTTGTTAACATTTAATATTAATGAATGTTGAATTATTTATTCTATAATTTTTCTCCAACATATTAAACTTTATATTTTTTATTCTCATTATTTAGCATATTAAATTGTTATTTTATTTTATTTTTTTCACATTTTCACATGTTTCTGCCTATGACTTCCTTTTTGCAGGCACCGGATAAAAAACAGACAGCCTCTGGACAAATATTTGGAAATGGAACATCCTTGAAAAAAAATTGAAAACATTAATTCCTCTGGTTGCTGGGCAGGAACAGACTACATACGGCCGTTTTGAAAGAACAAAGAGGGATCTCATGATCAAGACAATGCTCCTTTAATTGCCATGGAGAGGAGACATCTATGCATATTGTTCGTGACTGCCAAATCGCCCAAGAAGCATGGAAAACAGGCATGAAAGCTGAATACTAGAGAGATTTTATGCAATAGAAATGTCTGGAGTGGATTAGATGGGATTCAAAAAGGGAATCAGGTTGTGAATCATCAAAAAAGGTACCTTGGTCAATTAGCTTTGCATACATGTGCGGGGAACTTTGAACTATGAGATGTAAGAATTCGTTAGGGGAGGAGAAGCCTAAGTTCAGATTAATTCCAACAAGTGTATCTTGAAAGCACTGGCTTGACTCTACCAAATTGAGCGAGTTGAATTCAAACAGCAACCGACATGATTATGGTGAATAGATTGTGGGTTTCTACTGGTCTTGGAGATTTAAGAAGAATGAAGTCTGCTCTGATAGTGTAGAGGCAATTAACTTCGTCACCAGAGGTTTCAATGTGGACCATCCATTCCATGATATTATCTATCATGTTAGTAATTTACTTAAATGGGGACTAGTTAGTTTCAGCTAATTTTGTTTGTAGGGATGTCATCAATAACACGCATTATTTAGCTAGGGAAGCACACGATCTCAAAAAAAAAAAAAAAAAAAGAAACTATTGCATCCTTAATCATTCCTCACCTTGCACATTTGGAGAAGGTCAACAGTGATTGATTAGCCTCTCACTCGTCGGCTTTTGTATCTGTTCTTTTCATAATTATGAATGCATTTCAATTTGATCCAAAAATAAAATTCATCACTCTCTGCATCTCAACGGCTTGGCATCTCACCATAGTTGGCTTGGACTACTTAGTACCAATCTTGATTCGCAAGTACATAATTTTGCCTGTCCATAATTTTCTCTCCTCCTCTTCTTTGCTGTCCATTAAAATATAACCAATTAACAATAAAAGTTAGGTGTAGTGGAAGCAGCAAATTTTTCACAACATAACAAACCAAAGCTTAAATTCTTGCCAAAATCAATATTCTTTTAGTAACTGACTGTGCCTTAAATAGAATTACCTCAAGTAAGATACCTATGAGTAATAAAAAAAAAAAATTAACCAATTCAATTCTTCAATTTCAACAACCACTCCATCCCTTTCTATCTCTTTCAAGCCCTTCAAGGACCACTGCTGATTCCTGAACATTTACAACACTCTGACCCAACGTGGCAAAGCCAATCTTATTCTCGTCACTGGTTTCTGCCACGGCAGCTCAGTAATATATACTACATAAATAACATCGAAGCACAACAAAAACTGTATCACAAGGCTATGTAGTTATCAGCAAGAGAATGGCCGGTACATTATTATTACGCAAGGCATATGGCATTGCCACAATGAGGATAAGCTGATAGACAGAACACCCCCCCCCCAAAAAAAAAAAAAAAAACATATTTCATTCATGGAACAGGTGATGTCACTGGCAAAATAAAATTAAGACTCACTTGACTTCTTTTTTGTTTTGTTTTGTTTTGTTTTTTGTTTTTTAACGATGCTGGGGGTAGCAGAGACAGTGGATGAAGTAGCATCATGTCTGGCGTGGGATTACTGTTTACTTGCAGCTGCTTTCTATATATGTCGTTATGCACTAGCACTACTATGAAGCAATTCAAGGCCCTTTTGTTTTTCACATTAGGTCTGTTTGTCACTTGCAGAATCAAAATACTATCACCATCAAGCAGTGTTGTGGAACCGAATCTAGGACATTCTCCATTTTATTGTATGTCTCTGCTTCCCCTGCTCAAGCCCAATTATCATTCATTACTGTGTTTTCCACCGTCTAAGCCTAATTATCATTCATTATTGTGTTTTCCCTCTTCAATGAAAAACCAGAATGTCGTCATTCATTATTAACAACCCAGCTTAAAAAGGTGAGGGTAGGGGAGGTTTGAACGACAAGGAATATTGCATGAGATATAAGTGGCGGCAATAAAAATCCATCTTCAACTATGGATCATGTAAGCAAGCATAGTCCAACGGCTTCTACATTTTGTGAAGGAAAATGACCTTTTGAAGGTGCCATCTATTAATTAGACAACATTCCAGAAGAATCATTCATTATTTAAATTGATTTAACATTTTGCTAACCTTCTAAGTTACATTTGCAATAGGAACTTCCTTGACATGATAGTGTTGCTGAGGTATTAGATTTAAGCAGGGAAGTGGAGCAACAAAGGTCGATTTTTAAGACCATAACCATTCGAAAGCGATTTGCCAAACACTGCAATAGTGAAGCAAATAATCTCTTTAAAGGTCAGGCATGCCCCTCCCAGTTTTGGCGTCGTAAGTCTTCTCCAGCACAACATCCATTGGAGTATCTTTGGGACCAGCTGCGAAAAGAATAAGAAAGGGTTTTGATATTCAGCAGGATAATTACAATTTAAAAAAAAATAGATAATCAACACTGGTGGTCACTGAAACTATAAACATTCTGACGTACCAAGGAGAGAAGAACAGGAAAGATAGAATAGACAAAAGAGAGTAGGGAAAGGGATTGAGAATTAGAGAGGAATTTCTGGATAATACTCGAGAGATTTCATTATGCAATTCATAACAGGTACATCAACATCTCAATCCTTTTTATACACTTAGACCTGCTAACACTTCTAACTAACTATCCACTAACAACTCTCTCTTGTCCTAATTATAATTACACATCACATTCATATTCACTCATTCTCTCCAATGGAGATGTTGACCAATTAGCTGTAAGAGAGATTGATGTAGAAAAGAATAGCAAAAGATGGTTGTCCCAAATAAATTCAGAATAAACAATAGGAGCCCAGATCAAAGCAGGAAAAAGAAAACTAGGGTTTTGCATTGCACTGTATCTAGCATCAGACTCCATATTGAACATTTGGGTTATCAAGTATAATCAGATCCATCACCCAGATCCCTCTATTCAATGAAGCATGTATTACGCTATATCCATTAACACTATAATCTTTGCCGACCTTCACATAAAAAGCCTCTATCCAATAACTAGAAGCAAGTTTCTAATTTAAACATGAAATCCAACAAATAACCCTCACTCCCTTCTTTTCCATCCTTGCTTGTGAATTTATTCAAAAATAATGTGCATTTCACCAAATATATGATGACATTTTAAGGTCAACAGTAAGTTTTACTGCTCGGGTCATAGGAACATGCTGAAGAAGAAAAAAGATACATACATGACTAGAACATGGCAATAAAAAGGCTTAAACAAATAAGAAGCATGAGCTTTAAGTGCGTACAGACTGTAGGTCTTGGGGTTGTTCTTATCTTTAAGATCTCAGGCCGGGGAATTATGGACCCAGATGCTCCTATACCTCTGGACACTCTGACTTTAGTACCATCTTCAAGGTATCTAATCCCAACTTTGCAAGGCTTCCTGAACAAGAAAAGGCTCATTTTAAAATTATCCAACTCCAACCCCTTTGCATGCAATCACCAGTTCAGTATATTAACATGTGCATACCCTGTCACTGGATCAAGAACTTGCACATTTGAGGCATGAATTGGGGCTTCAACAGTAAAGATCCCCCCTTCATGACCTTGCCCTTGCTTTATGTGTTTCTTCACCTAAAAGGAAGTTAAAAAAAAAAAAAGCATTCAAGTGAGAAATCTATCATGCATATGGAGAAAACAGGAGCTTCAATGCACCATTTAATTCAGTTTTTTATGAGAAAAAAATGATAAAATTATGAAAGCACATACACATAGTTGTCAAAACATAAATTATTTAATATAATGGAATGCAACGGCTCTGAATTAATAACATTGAAGGTCTAATGTAGACAAAAATTTTAAATAACTTCATTAACAGTTTACTAATAGATCATCAGATTCAAGCCTTGATGGAATAAAATGCTCAATCTACTTTGTGATCCATCATCCCATACAGAGAATTTGAGAAAGTACATGTCTTTCTTGCCTGACAGAATCAGAATCAACAACATATTCCATAGTAGTGAGTTCACCAATATCATAAATCCAATTAAGTTTTGATATTTCAATATGTTAATCGCCAGAATGATAAGAGAAGTTTCTTAACAAACCCAAATTGACATATTTGATATTTCAAATAATCAAAACGTTAACTTAGAAAGGCAAACTACAGTTGTCTCACCAGATTTTTTCCCTCAACAATAAGACGATTCTGAGAGCGGATTACACGCTTAATAACCCCAGTCTCGCCCTTGTCTTTTCCCCGTATAATCATTACCTGTCACAAATGAAAACAATAAATCCCTTTCAAAGCAAAATGATAAGAAAAAAGAATAACAACAGGAACAACAAGGATGTGAAAGAAAAAATAGAAACTTACGTTGTCACCTCTAAGAACCTTCCAATGCCTAATGAGTTTCTCAGCTGCTTTCCAACCCATTTCAAGAGATAAGTCTAAAATTATTGTTCAATAGAAACAGGTTTATATAAGAATCTGACCTTGGAAAAGTAATATTAATCACTTTAAACAAAACGAAACAAAAGAGAGCAAGAATGCATATTCATTTCAGTTGGCAAAGAAATTTAGGGTGAACATATAATACCCCCTTATAATTTAAAAAAAAAAATTGCCAAAACCCATCTCTTTGTCACTCATGAATCGGGCCCAACCTCCCCCTGCCGCCCATCACCCTATTCAACGACATGGAACTGGAAGCAAACGCAGCAACGGTTCTCGTATGTGATGGATCTCAAAGATTCGAAGGCAAACGCAACGACCTTGTTCAACACAGATTCGAAGGCAAGAAGGCGAGTAGATGCGAGGAGATGTAGTGCTGGAGGACTGCGGGAGGTAGACAGAGGGAGAAGGGAGGAAGACGAAGGGAGAAGACTCGAACTAGTGGTGGATGAATGCGGGAGGTAGACAGAAGGAGAAGGGAGGAAGACGAAGGGAGAACGGCGCCTATGGTGGAAGACGGAAGGAAGACGAAGGTAGAACGGTCGAAGGTAGACAGAGAGAGCAGGGAGGAAGACGAACCTGTCAATGGTGGAGGACGAAGCCGATGCCAGGGACAGCTATGGCAGACTCGACTGAGTGAGAGAACGGTAAGGGATGGGGTTGAAAGCGAGGGTAGACAGAGGGGAGAGAGGGCGTGAGAAGGGGACTTGAGAGAAGCCTCGCTGCCTCCCCTTTGAAATGTAAGTTTAATCTGTTTAGATCTAATATTTTTATTTTTTATATGTATTTTTAAAATAAAAAATATATAAAAATTATAAATTTTTTAATATTTATGAATCTGACAATTTAAATTTAATATTAAATTTTTTAATAAATTTATTGTTTTATTTAAAATATATTTACATTGTCTAGAATATATTTAAAAATTTAATTTAATTTTTTTATATTAAATTTGAATTATCTATATTAAATTTAAATTGTCAAATTGAAAAGTATATTTATTAAAAAATTTATAATTTTTATATATTTTTATTTTAAAATATATAAAAATAAAAAATAAAATTATTAAATTTGAAGGATGGTCCAAATTTTTCTTTGCTTCAGGGGAGACTTCTCTCAAAGGAGAGAAGCTGACTCTATAAAAATAAGGATAACTTGATCTAAAAAAATCAATTTCAAAATTGATTTTTCAATATTAAGGCGTGGTGGAATTGGGTAATTCCATGTACATGATATTGGGCTTGGAATTAAATTTTCTAATGCTTCATACTAAAAACAAAAAGTTGGTACTAGTTAGTATCAATGTCAATCTTATCTCTCCAATCTTTCGTACCAAACAAGGCCATAAGGCGCTTGAGATTCAAATTTATCAATTGAAACCAAATTCAGGTTCATTCTGAGGTTCTTGAATCTATTCATGACAAGTAGAGGTTACCTAAGCTACTGCAACCTATGGTGGAACCAATGAGTATGGGTGTTCATGAGCTAGGATAGATAGGTCCAAACTCTTGCTCATGGCCCATTTCGAGGAGCCAAAATGCAACAGGCTGCAAAATGCAGCCCATAGCATTTCCTGGCCCATTTTGGCTCGTTGCCATAACTGGGGCCGGGCAAGGTCGGGCGAGAGGGCATGGCCTTTCATGCAACCCCGTTTTACCTTTTGCTTTGTCAAATCTACATATTCTCCATTTATCTTCTAAAAAAGAATCAAGATATATGGCACATACACACCTTTATCCATCCATTAATGCGTGAAGCTCAAGATATATGGATATGCATTATGCATATTCTCCATTTAGCTAATTTCTTATGTATGCAAGAAAGTTCATTCCTCTCATTTTGTTAAGTTCTACTTAATTGAGATTATCATTCTTCCACGGCCCCCACACAATGTTTAAAACCAGAGTCCAGGTTGATTATCATATTTCGTTTTCCTTCTGTAAATATAATCAAGCAGCTGAGCTGGAATTTGTTCAACATCAGCATGTGAGTAAGTAAAATCCAAGTCTAAGTTAAGGAATCAAAGACTAATGCATTCCGAATAAAAAGACAGTCCACATGCACCCAAAAAAAAAAAAAAAAAAAAACACTCCACAGTCCACACAAAGCAATGTAATTAGAGGAATGGTCATGAGATTGCTATTATTGTGAATGTGATTTCACCACCCTTAAAAAGAAGTTAAAAACTACAGAAGAAAAGGGAAGGGGAAGCAACGAGCCTTTGAAATTGGTAACACTCAACTCATTCAAAGATCAAAGCCTGTCTCATCCTGAAATTCCTCACACGGACTCTCTACATTCTAACGCTGTACCAGAACCACGAAGCTGGTTTGAAGAAATCCAGAAAAAAAAGAAGAACGAATAATTAAAGAACCAACCAGGTCAAGGGTAAATCGAACACGAAGAAGACTAACCAGGCCACGCACGAAGAGAAGATGGAAGAAAGCAGCAGCCACAACCAATGAAGATGAAGAAGGATGACTGGAGCAGAGAGTAAGGAGCGGCAACGATGACCAGAGTGGAGTGGAAGGTACGGCTGCGATGGCGGTGCAAGGATTCAGGGCAGGCAGCGTGCGTGTAAGATGAGAGTCGAAGAGGGCAGAGCAACTCGAGGAGGGCGTTCAGATTGTCCCAACCAATGCTTCTCCAGTCCACGACATGAAAACGACTTCGTTTTGCGCTAAAATGAAATCTAGGCCGTTCATTGCTATATGTCGAAAGTACGATGATGGGAGGAATTAATTTAAAAAGAATTACATACAAGTCCTTACAACATAATTAAATAAGGGTAAGAAAAAAATAAATTAGCTTTTAAATTATAAGTCAAAAAGAAGTGGGACTTTTAAAGTTGTTTTTTGTGCAATGTTGCCCTTCAATTTTTAAAAATGATAAAATATGACACCTATTATAAACAAAAGTTAATATTGACCATTAGTTAATTAAAAATTAATAAAAAGTAACCAATTAAATTTTTTGTCATTTTTTATAATGTTTTGACTCATTTTTTATAATTTTTGACTCATTATTTATAATTTTAAGGTCATTTATTGTAACTTTTTATCCTTTTCTATAATTTTTTAGATCCTTTTTCCCTTATTTTTTTTGTCAACTAACTATCAAAGTTAATTTTTATTAACAACAAAAGTTAGATTATATTAGTTTTAAAAGTTGGAGAGGAATATTATATAAAAAATAAATTTAAAATTTCAAATACTCCTGAATCTATAGTTTAAGAATTAATTTACTCATTTACCTATAAAATAATAATTATCACATCACGTATCAACCACTTAACAATAGTTGTGATCTTGCTTTACTAAATTGTTAATAGACATTGTTCTATTTAATTGTGTTACAAGGAACTCAACATAATTCTCCCTATAATTTAAACGGTACATCTCAGTCATCCGTCACATACTCATGTGAACTCCGTGCTTCATCCTACAGCAGCACAGTCAAGTTTAAGGTACCATATGGGAGAAAATTAAAAGCTTCAGTAAGGGAAGATTTTTTATTAGATACACACAAATTTCTTGGCATTTCATTTTAGTTTTTATATTTATAGTTTTTATAATCCATCCAAGTTGATATGATGGATTTTATATTTCTGTTCTTATATCTATGCTGTTATAGCTGTGTGTATTCTTATTTCTATATATAATATTGTTTTATATTTTTGGTTAATTAATATATTATTTAGTCAATATGAGTTTTAGATTCTTATATTATATATGCTCTGTTTCTATTATACCTCTGTTTTATATACAATTGTCATATTATAACGTTTGGTTAAGCTTTTTCAATTGTGTGCATGTGTATATATCAATTTTCCTTTTTTATAAGACTATTTGATTAGATTAAATTTGAGTATTGTTGGATCTAATTGACTTGGCTTTTCCATGAATATTTTCTGTGTTCTTATAGGCTTGAACTTGTAACCTTATACTTGGATTACAACTTGTATATATTCTCATTTACTACAATCAAAACCCATTGAAATAGGTTTAATTTGTAAATACTGTTTGTGCATATAGCTCGATTTTGGTTTCTTAGACTACAACTCTTGTATGTCCACTATGTTAACTTTTATCAATGTAGAACAGTTTATATAACTGTTGCAACTATGCATTTGTATTTTTTTTTATTTACTTATAATCAATTTACATTGCGTATACACTTTGTCAATTTTGTAGGAGGCTTATATCATGGTTAAAAATTTGACCCCTAAACTTTAATCCTGAATTTTCTTGTTGTTTCTTCTTAAATTTGTATTCAATTGTATGAATCTTGCTGGAATTTGTGCTCAATATCTTACTTGAGGAATTTTAATTTCAATTGGAATTTGCGGTGATTTGTGCAATAGTTTTATTAAACATATAGGTGTTGTTTTTGTGTTGTCTTGATTTCTAATCAAAGAGCTACTCATTCATGATGGTTTGTGTCTGCGAATTTCTCATAACACCAATTTTGAGTACCCCTAGGTTTGGTTTCTAAATTACTTCTAAAATTAAATATACCCTAGTTCAAGTAATTTTATTTTCCTTACCTTCCCTTTGTACTGAAACTTTTTAACTATTTTTTCAAAAATTTTCTCTTTTTCTTGTCAATACATGGAGACATTGTGTTGTAATCCATATTAAACATCCATAAATGATTAAGTTGAACATTTTAAGCACATTAATTAGCAACAATGTTACAATATTATGCCAACAAGTACTTTGATTAGAGTACAATGTAGCAACATGTTCATCTACCTAATTCAGCCAAATTACAATAAGCCTGGAAATGCAATATAAGAAGTTAATGAAAACAAATTAAATTCATGATGGATTGTTCAAAATCCCTTGATGGTAGAATCCCTAGTTTGGTATTAGAATTAGCACCTAGAGGTTTTGTTGCAATGCAAGGCTCCTAATGATGTTGTTAATGCCCTTACATATTTGGCATATAAAACTTTAAAAACTTGTTCCCTATTGTAATGAGGCATTGGTACATGTCCTCCTTTTGTTTATGTGAAGCAAGCTCCATTTTCAAACACATCTTGTAACACTTGCCCTGAGTGTTATTTAAAAATCATACAATTCAAATAAATTAAATGTGGTTAAGAAGTTAATCCTAAAACCAACTAAAGAAATAAATTATTTAAATCACTAAACAATTATACCATCGCAAAATAAACATTTAAAACCTTTAAAAAAATTTATAGATTCTACCTATAGTGCAAGGAAGCAAGTTAGGTAAAAGTAGGGTAAAAAGATGTTGTCATGATAGTATTAAATTGTTGTCATGATAGCCCTCCTGGGCCAACTTTTGAGAGGTGCCGTTTCGTCGTTCGACCTTCGATTGAAGTGATTTTAAAGCTCACATGTTAATTTTAATGATTACTAGTAGTGCACCAAATTTCAAAAATATCTAACGGTCGGATTAAAATTTAGATATATTACAAGTTTGTCATTTTTTGCTATCATGACAACACATTTAGACCACCTTCTAAAGTGCACCATTTCATCATCCGACCTCCGATCGGAGCAATTCTAGAGCCCACATATCACATTCAAAGAGTACTTCAAGTGTACCAAATTTTAAAAAAATCCAACAATCAAATCAAAATTTGTGCACATTTCAACCTTAGCAATTGTTGCTATCATGATAGCATTATATTGCTATCATGACAGTATCTCCGGATTAACTTTTAAATTGCGCCATTTTTTTGTTTGAAGTTT